CACCGAGGTGCGAGATGAGCCGAGATCAGCCGAGATCAGCCGAGATCACCCGAGATCACCCGGGGACTTAGCCCCGTGCCGCGGCCTCACCGAGGCGGCCGCCACTTCCTTTGAGGCACCACCACTCAGACCACGCAGACGACATCAACACGTCCTCACCACAGGTGACCGCCACCGACTTTGAGTACGCCGCGCTGCAGGGCGGAGCCGCGCCCGACCTGCCCGGGACTTGCCCCTCTCGGGCGGCGTGCGAGGCCGCCCCCGTGACACCGCCCCCCCTCCCTCTTCCCTCTGCCCCTCAGGCGGAACCGTCAAGCTGCTCGGCGTCGCCAAGCGCGACGGAGGCGACCCCCGCGCCGCTCCTCCCCTCCCCTCGCTCACGCCTCCTCCTCTTGTCTTCAGGCGCGACGGAGACCGGCTCTCCGCCTTTGTCTCGCCCTGCTTCGTCCCGACCTCCAACACGCTCGCCTCCATCAGCGGCGCGACCAACGCGGTGCAGATCGGCTCCGCCAACCTCGGCAGCACCGTCCTGGTGGGGCAGGGCGCCGGCCGGCTGCCGACGGCCAACTCTTGCGTGTCAGACATCCTCGACATCGCGCAGGGGACGAGCGCAGCCCCCTTCCCCAAGCAGCCCCTCACGCCCGCCCTCAAGTTTGGCAACTCGTACACCTCCTCCTTCTACGTGCGCATCCGCTTCCGCGAGCAGCTCGGCGCGTGCTTCTCTTCTTGCCCCTCCTCTCCTCCTCCTCCTCCTCCCTCCTCCTCCCTCCTCCTCCTCGCCCCCCCGGCGGCGCCTCGTCTCGTGAGGCGTGCCGCCCGCTCCTCCCCCTCCAGGCATCATCCAGTCGGTGGGCGAGATCTTCTCCGACGCGGGCGTCTCCATCTACAACCTGCTGCAGACGCCCATCAAGAACCCGAACGACTCGATGTTCGTCATCACCACCGACCCCGTCGACGTCGCAAAGATCAAGCGCGCGTGCGTCGCCCTCGAGGCGACCGACTGGTGCCTCGGCGACACCTTCTATATGCCCGTCGTCGAGTGACGAGGCTGGGGCGTCCCGCCCACCTCGCAGACGGACAGGCGATGACACCCACATTTCTCGCACTAAGATGTGAGTCTAGGACCGCACTGCGATCTGCGTACACACGTGGCCGTATGTTAAAGTGAACCCGCGCCGCGCCGACCGCCAGGCGGGTCTCTTGCTTTAAGAGCCAGCTTAGAGAGCTTAGAAGCTCACCGCACCGCGGCGCGCTCACAGCACACAGCTCACAGGGTCACACACCCTCTCTGCTCTCTCTCTCGGCGGCAAATCGGCCCGCGGGGGCGCCCGCGCCGGCGCGCGCGGTGTGCGTCCAGCTGTGGTTGTGTGCGGTGTGCAGAGCCGAGCGATGAGCGTGCACACGAGATCGGCCATCGGCGCGAACAGACCGTGCTACGGGCCTACGGCGTGTGCAGGTGTGCACGTACTCTACGTCTCGGCGCCTCGCGCGCGCACGCGCCGGCTAAACGCTAAAGCTTAAACCCCATCAATGTTCCTTAAAGTATAAAGCCGTACACTGAAAAATCGCACGTCTTGCGTCTCGAGAGATGTCGAGTCTTTAGGAGGTGGGACATCACGCGGTCTCACCTTTTACTTCCGGCCCGCGGCCGCCTTTGGCCTCCAGCCATCGCAGTAAGCACGGAGTTTCTCGAGGTAGCCTGCACGCTGCGCATCCGTCAGCTTCCAGCACGCCTCGATCGAGCGCTTGGCCAAGAGTACGCACTCGTCGGGGGTGAGGCCTAATCACACCACTGCGCCGCAATCACATCACGCACGACGGCGGTGGAGCCAATCGGGCACCCGAGTGCCGCTGTCGCGGGCGGCCCGCATGTACGCCGAGTTGACGTAGCCGTCGTAGGTCTGCGGCTCGCACGCGTAGCAGCGCTCATCCACCGTGCCGATGGCGCAGTAGGCTGGGTCGTCGCTGTGCAAGCCTGCTCACAGCTGGACGATTCCCGCGCATGACTCTCAGCGCGGCGCGACGCGGGGGCGTCGAAGCAGGCCGGCAACGTTGACACCGGCCTCGAGCATCGCACGGACGGGGCTCTCGCCGCAAAAGATTCGCGGCACCTACGGGACGGGTCCGAGGGGGCTTGGGGAAGGGGCCGCGGGCGAAACCGCGCACCAGGAGGTCCTCCCCACAATCTGAGCGCGGTGGTTGGAGATCGGGCAGACGGTGCAGGGCGTGTTCCGGTCCTTGAGCTTGCGCACGACGGCCGCGTCCTGTCCACGGAGCAACTGTGAGAGACGATGCTCGCACTTCTCGGCGCATGGCGGCGATCGAGTCCTCGAGGCAGCGCACGCCGTGGTCAATGCGGTCGCACTTGAGCACGTCGAGGCACATCTCGACGCACGCGGCGCCCTCCTCCTCGCCGGCGTGCGCCGACAGCATCAGCCCCGCCGCCTTCGCCTTCTCATACGCCGGCTTGAAGCGAGAAGTGGAGCCGTGCCCCCACGGGCCCGTCCCATTGTCCATGCCGACGCCGACGATCTTGCCGACGTTGCCCGGCTTGAGCGCCTCGTCTAGCACCGCCATCGCCTCCTCGAGCGAGCGGTCCTGCAGGAAGGAGAGGATGAGGGCGCCGTCGACGCCGAAGCGCGCGCGCCCCTCCACGATGCCGCGCCACAGGCCCGCGATCACCGCCGCGTATG